CCTCACCCGCCGCCCGGAGCGGAGTCGCGTTGACTGACCAGAGTCCGCGAGTCCCGCTCCGCTCCCGCCGCCTCAGGTGAGTCCCCGCAGGGAGAGGGAAGCGGGGAGGGCGTGGAGGGGTTGGCTGTCCGCCGCGCCGCGCCGCTGGGCCGGCCTGCCCCCGCCCTGAGAGGGATGGGGGGGAGCCGGGGGGAGCCTGCAGGCCCGGTCGGTGCTGATTGGATGGCGGGGAGTCACCTCAGCCCTGGGGGGGGGGGGGCGTTGGGGGACACCCTTCATAAGGTGAGGCGGTGGGGACCCCTCCGCCCCTTCGACCTGAAGGGCCGGGGCCGCACGGGGGGGGACGGATGGGGCCGGGGAGGGAGCAGCCCCTGCCCCTGCTCCTCCGCGGCCTCCGCACCGGCGCTGTGCACCTGCGTTATCGGCGCGGGGCCGGGCCGCGGCCCGCAATCCATCCCAAACCGGTCGGCTTTATCATGCTAATGGTGTCCTGTGTCAGGAGGCTCGGCTGCGAGGAGTCACCCTCTTGGGAAAAGCTGCGCGGAGCGAGTTGGAAAGGAATGACAGCGGTGGGAGGCAACGCTTAATTATCGGCACTTCTCTTCCAGGTGTTTGGAAGGGATGTAGGTGCTGTGAAAATAGGCAGGGATTAAAAAGATGCCTTTCTTTCTCTGTCACACACACACACATACGTATGCTGTCTCCACTTCTGAGGCTGTATCCTGGCTAGTGGCTTGTCCAGGGATGGCCTCATGCCACATATTTCTCACCCCATTGAGAGATGACAGCAGCTGAGTCCTGTGCTTCCCAATCGTGGTCTTTTCAGTCTATGTACTGAAAGAATCCCTGCTGGACAAAGGTGCAAGGTTTCCTTTTTTTCTTTTTTTTCCCCTCCTTTTTTAAAATCTTATTGAAACTCAAGGACGGTTACTTTGCATTGGAAAAAAAAGCATCAGGGATAGCTGCATTAAGTACTTGGCTAACAAAGTTATCATAACAGTATATTCCATGTGTGAGATTCAGAGGTTGGCTGACGGGAAGACATCGAGGAGTTTACTACATATGAATTATATCAAGAATCGTAGACCCAGTTGCAGTTTCTCTAGTGAAATAGGAGTTTGATTTTGTCTGTGTATTGCTAAGGAATAAATATAACTAGAAGACTTCAGTAAGATTTATCTTCCCAAAGAAAATAGCTCTGCAACTATCAGATGACAGAAATAGGAGTGCTTTTTGAGATTATCATCGCTGTTGTTTTTTATGAGTTTGTTACCAAACTAAAATGGAAAACAGTCGCTTGCTACCGGTTGCAGTGCTCAAGAAACTGAATCAATGGAAAAGAATGAATGATCTTGCTTGTCTAGGCTGTCATTGGGAACAGCATGTAGGTTAGTAGAAAACTCTGAACTAGACGTTAGGATGGGACCGTATCATTTATATGTAGTGCCAGTCTGTGGAGTAAATACCAGGGTTGTATTAGAATGTGTTTTGAAATAGCTGCGTTCCTTGGGGAGAGAAGATTGGATATTTTTATATTTTATTTCGGAAAGAGTAGAAAAAGCCTAGCATTCCTTGTTGGTAGAACAGCTCTTCAACTTTTCCTGTATATGGAAATGTACTGCTACTGAATGTTGGCATGTACTAAAGCAAGATTGTGGAAAAAGCAATTTGCAGTTGCGTTTTGCTTATATTAACACATGGAATCTTAAATCATGGCTGTCCAAGGTCAAAGGTAACTCGGATTATGTCAATGTTTTCTCATTAGTAAAAAGTAAATAATTATTTTGTTTAAGACTGCATATATTTAAAAGCTTCATTTGATTGGTAGTATATGATTATTAGAAGAACCCTGAAAATTGTGCTGGTTAAAATTATGAACTGGACTTAAAGCTTGTATAGCTAAAAGTTGTATTTGAAATGTAACTGTAAGTAGTATTTCTTCAAAATAGCAGTGCTTGATTTCTTTTAAAAAAAAAAAGTAGATCAGAAAAGAAAAAGTCTCTCCAATTATTTGAATTGGCGAAGTGCTGTATTATCTCTGCTCCAAGATTCAGCACTTTCAGCATATTTGTTAAATGACTGGAGTGATAGTAACTGCTGAGCTCCGTAAGAACGTACTCATCTTTCATTCACTCCTGAGTTTCTGTTGGACTGCCATTCGTTTCCTGTTTGCTTCCAAATTCCTACCTTGTCCTGACGTCTCCACCCTCTGCTAACATGGCCATACTTGGGTATGTTGTAATTTCAGGCTGTAATGGGTGTGGATGTCTTGGAATGACATCACAGAGAGATTTCTTTTTAGATCTATATGTAAGGGTAAAAAGACTTTGAACCATCTGTGGTTCAAAATTACTATGAAAAATTAGTGGAATATATGGAAGGAATTGAAAAATCCAAGTTATATGTATTGACCTACGTGCATTTTAATTATTCCAGGTGACCTTGAGTTTTTATGACATTATCTTCCATTCACTTACGCTGCCATTGAGTAATACAGGGCTTAGAATACAATATGATATTTTAAACAACTTTGTAATTGTGGGTCAGCGTGCCTCCAATTACAGATGTTCAGCACTTTCACTTGTAGCAATTATAAGTTAAAGGAAAAACTAGGTGTTTAGCTTTTTAAAAAACCAAATTAAAATACTTACAAACTAGAATGATTCAGCTTGTTCTTTTAGTGTTTGAATCTCATGGGGGCTAACGCTTAACTATAAAACAGTTAAGTGCTAGGATTAATTTGAAGAAATTAGTAATTAGTTGATTAGTAATCTTAATAATTTTCCCCTAGGACACGTATAAATGGTTTTATCAAATAATACATCAGTAGATTACAGTTACATATCAATATTCTGGATACACCAATTTAGCCTCCTGAAAAGAAAGAAGAAAAAGATTTGATTGTAGTGCTGCCTGTGAGCCTTGATACGTGTCAGGATCTTGAATCCATTCACTGAGCTACGTCCCTGGAATTTTTATTTTTTTATCAAGTGTTCTATTTTGTAGTAAAATTATTAAGGTTTGTAAGATATCCTGACAACCTGTTGTCTTGCCTGTGAGGATTAGGTCAGTCGCAATTAGCAGGACAGTTAAAAGTCATTGGCCAACTGAAGTATCAGGGTGTTTGGCAAAGGCAATTCTTTAACATCTTAACATATGAGTAAGTTGTGATCTTCTGTAAGAAAATTGTAATAGTGGACTGAAACAACCTTGGTAAATATTGAAGGCTGACTTTGTTTTAATGATTATCGAATTTTGAAGTGTCTTGTTTTCAATTTTACACCTTTCAGCTTTTTCAATTTTTACAACATAGGAATATCTTTAACTCGGAATGTCTCTACATCAGTTTTTACTAGAGCCAATCACCTGCCATGCATGGAACAGAGACCGTACTCGTAAGTAATATGTTAATTTTTTATTTTTTTTTTTTTTCAATTACTGTTTTCTCTTTGCTGTCAGTTTGTGATCTTTTAATGTTCTGCATAACATTTAGGAAAGGTATGATCAAATGCATAGTGCTACATCTTAAGCATTCCACTCAGGATCCAAAAAGCACTCATCTTCTAAATTGGAACTTTTTTAAACCTATTACTGGAACTCTGGCATATGAGCAAATCTAGTCTTATGAGTGTTCCAGGAAGCTTTGCCTCTTGGTCTGTACCTCGTGAGAATATAACCCGCCCCTTATCTTCTTTGACCCTCTATTTCCATACCCCAAACCAGGCTTTTTCTTATAATAGCCTAGTTTTTCACTATAATGTGAACTGTTGTGTCTTTCTGTGCAGTGTATTCATGACCATGTTACTTGAGGTTATCCGGGGATGTTGGCCCTTTATTTACAAAACCTATAAAATGCTCAGAAATTTGAGAATACAGTTTTCAAATTGGAAAGCCTTTTTAAATAAAGCATTTGGTATTAAAAAGCCTTCTGTACTATTGGATTGTTTTATTTCTTCTTCAAGAGATTGCCATTAGCCCTAATAATCATGAAGTCCACATCTACAAGAAGAGTGGGAACCAGTGGGTAAAGGCTCACGAGCTGAAGGAGCACAATGGGCACATTACAGGTAAGAGAAAATTGTGCTGTGCCACATATGAAGTTTTTCAGCCCCCTGCTTTCCCCAGTCAAGAATCTGAACAGGAAATCTGCAAGTGTCAAGTAAATAGATCTTTTTATAGGTTGGCATTCCCACTTGCAGAGAGCTTTGCAGCATTTTTCTGGAGTACCTGCAATGAATGTTAGCAGGAAAAGCCCTATTTCATTTCTAGACATTTTTGTAGAACAACTGAGCCTGCCTTTCTTATCTATTGCTTATTTTTAATTCGTGAAGACACCATGAAAATAAATTTTCAGTCTTCTGAAGTAATCTGGTGGTGTGTCGAACTCTCCTGGTGAGACATGGCGGCTCCCTTTCAAGTGCTAGGATTAAAACTTCAAGGGTACAACTGTTGTGTCAGTTTGTGGTTTCCGACAGCAATAAATACCCTTTTTTAGGGACTGTTGAAGCACTTGAAGTGGTCAGTCCTGACCTTGTGACAGGCCATCAGTGAGCACATTTTACTGCAGGCCCAGAGCATCTGTAGATCCGCAGCAGATCTGTAACAAGAGCTGCTACGATGAGTCACAAGGTGTTATTTTTAAAATGTGATTGTCCTGTGGTAGTCGTTTTACTGGGGGTTTTTTCACGGTGATATTTTTATAAGGGCTTTATTCTCTGATATTACTGGGGGTTTTTTCATGGTGATATTTTTATAAGGGCTTTATTCTCTGAGGAAATTAAAGTAATTAATACAAGCGCTTGCCCAAAACAGCAATATCCTTTATTCTATTCTCAACTCACTAATGGGCGGAAGTATCTGCCCAACAGCGTTTTGCAGAAACTTTATTTGATTTATCTGATTCTGTGTCAAAGAGCAGACCTGTACGTGCCCTTTTGCAAAGAGTCACTTGGGCTGAATTTACAAATGACGTTGCCGTTCCCCAAAGACATTTCTCTGCATTTTTCCTTGTACCTGTTAGTGTTAGAAGCTAAATATTCATGACTTGGGAAAAGAGCTCTCTCCGCTTTCCTGCCTAGCGTATACCTTTGGAATACTAAATGCTGTGGTTGTCCTAAAGAATAGACTTAAACTGTGGTTAGACACAGGAGATAGACTGATCAAACCGCTCGTTGCCTCTGACGGGAGTGATTCAACCGCTGCTTTTGCTCACGAGGGACAAGGTCCCTTGTCTTGCCTTCTGTGTGTTAATTCAGGTATTTGTGGTGAGTTGCCTCTGTTCACCTAAAGAAGCGTAAGCCTGTTTTAGAGTTGGCAATATATGACTGATATGGTAAAATTAGTACAAATTCTTTCTATCACTTATATCCTTTTTTCAGTTTGTGTGCTTAAGGAATATTTTTAATACCGAGGAGAGTTATGGAAAACCATTGAACTACAATTTTGTGGCAGGAGAGTTAAAGATGTCACTCTGCATCTCAAAGAGGGATGCTGAAGAAAAGATAAAAAATGATGTTGCTGTGAGACTTTCCGTTTGAGAGCATCCTTCACTGCATAAGAAGGGAAAGAAGCAATAGCAGGCTTATCAAAGGCTTTGTTTTATTCTTTCTATTTGTTATTTTCGCTTGGTAGACGTTTTCTTTCTCATGGCACAGCTCAAATAGGGATGGAAAAAATGTTAAGGATTGTATCAGTACATAAAGATTGATCACTTCTAACCAAAAAAACCCCATCCTGCTATCTAAACTTTTGGATCACGACTGTGGTCTGGCAGCAAGCAGACATCTACGTTAGAGGTTTGTGCATAGTTTTAGAATTGCTTGGTTTCTGCTGTCAAATCGGGTCTCTGGGCAGAAAGTGGTTTGAAGGATGCTGACGGAGAGGCCTTAGCTGGTCTGCAGAGCTCCATCTGTTGGCCAACCCAGAGCGGGCCTCCTCAGCGAGCCAATTCCCTGTGGAATCTGGAAATTTGGGATCTGCAATTTTGATGAAAGCTAGAGGGACAAACCGGTATCCCTAACAGTTTAAAAAGGTGCCTGGAGAGTAAGTGAAGAAGGGGAATACCAACATAACGGTAATAACTGTCTCTGTAGTAGGCAGCTTCCATCGTTCCAGTCTTATTGTAAAACAAACGGTATAAAGGTAAAAGTTTATTAATGTAGACTCTAATTTTCAGGTATTGACTGGGCTCCCAAAAGCGACCGCATCGTAACCTGCGGTGCAGACCGTAATGCCTATGTCTGGAGTCAGAAGGACGGCGTGTGGAAACCAACCCTTGTGATCCTGAGAATTAATCGTGCAGCCACCTTTGTGAAATGGTCTCCCCTGGAGAACAAATTTGCTGTGGGGAGCGGAGCTCGACTTATATCCGTGTGCTACTTTGAATCTGAAAATGACTGGTGAGCTGTTTCATTTCCATTTATACCTTTAAGGTCTTCACGGGAAAGCTAAAGCCTGGAGTTTAACGGTGGTAACTAGGTTACTGTTTTACTGATTTCTAAAATCTGCAGGAAATCTCCATCTGTTGGCCAAGCCAGAGCGGGCCTCCTCAGCGAGCCAATTCCCTGTGGAATCTGGAAATTTGGGATCTGCAATTTTGATGAAAGCTAGAGGGACAAACCGGTATCCCTAACGGTTTAAAAAGGCGCCTGGAGAATAAGTGAAGAAGGGGGAATACCAACATAACAGTAAGAACTGTCTCTGTAGTAGGCAGCTTCCATCATTCCAGTCTTACTGTAAAACAAATGGTATAAAGGTAAAAATTTATTAAGGTAGACTCTAATTTTCAGGTATTGACTGGGCAGTTTAAAAAGGTGCCTGGAGAGTAAGTGAAGAAGGGGAATACCAACATAACGGTAATAACTGTCTCTGTAGTAGGCAGCTTCCATCGTTCCAGTCTTATTGTAAAACAAACGGTATAAAGGTAAAAGTTTATTAATGTAGACTCTAATTTTCAGGTATTGACTGGGCTCCCAAAAGCGACCGCATCGTAACCTGCGGTGCAGACCGTAATGCCTATGTCTGGAGTCAGAAGGACGGCGTGTGGAAACCAACCCTTGTGATCCTGAGAATTAATCGTGCAGCCACCTTTGTGAAATGGTCTCCCCTGGAGAACAAATTTGCTGTGGGGAGCGGAGCTCGACTTATATCCGTGTGCTACTTTGAATCTGAAAATGACTGGTGAGCTGTTTCATTTCCATTTATACCTTTAAGGTCTTCACGGGAAAGCTAAAGCCTGGAGTTTAACGGTGGTAACTAGGTTACTGTTTTACTGATTTCTAAAATCTGCAGGAAATGTAGAGGGATAAACCTCGTTAGTTTTTTCATGGTCTTTTTCCATCTTAAGGAAAAAAGGTTCCCTCTTTTACTTCTTTACTCTGGTGTAGGGGAAAAGATTCCCTCTTTTACTTCTTTACTCTGGTGTAGCACCCAAAGGCCTTTGACTTAGCATAGTTTCAGGTGATATATGTTGGCGTGGACGTGTTCTGGCTGACTGTCATAAACATATGTTGCTTTTCTAAAAGTACAAGATTTTCTACAGAGTAAAAATTTCTTTTCCACAACCGTATGATTGAAAAAAGAGAAATGTTTCCTCCCCCACCTCCTTCCAGAATGAATGAAGAAACCTTGACTTGAGTTCTCTTCCTTATAGATTATTTTGGGCCATTTCTTGTCATTAAAGAATTCAACTCTGTCACTTATCTCCAGGGTGCTCTATTAGAAGATGTTTGAGCTTGTCATCTACCTGCTCTGTATTCTGTCCTGTATTTTTATCATAGCTTATAGGTTTCAGACAGGACTATCACAAATATTTCCACTGTTAACGTTTTTTTTTCTCTTTGCCATCTAAACTTAGTGCTTCTGATCTTTAATGTGTCTACATTTGTAGCTGTATGTGTTGGAACATAAACATGCCTAATACCCCAGGTGTCTGTGCCTGCCGTTCTGTGTGCAGTCTTCCACATGGAGATGGTAAACAGTGATACCATCTGCAAAGTACATTTTAAAGATTGTTTTGGACTTTTATGCTTTCCAACACATTCAGTTATTAACATTTTCTCTGCCTCGCTTGCCTGCAGAAGAACCAAAACCCCATATGTTGAAGACAAATCATTTAATGCGATCCTTAAAACTGCTTGTGCCTGATGGAAGTACCATCAAAGAAAAAGCACCATCATCCCAAAGGCCATCAAGTGACTCAGATTTTGTTACTATTTTGTAAATAGTTCAAACAAACTAAATCTGTTGAGATGTATTTAGGCTAATATTGATGCATTCAACATCAGGTTCACTTTTCACTGTATTTCAAATAACTGGGATGTATGTGCTGGTCATATCATTGGCAGTTCACCCATTTACTTGTGGCATTTTATAGTTACTGTATTAAACAGTAGAAAAGTGGATGGGCAAGAGAGATGACTGTAAAACTCATTGGAAGGAGCTGGAGAGGACTTGTGCTTAGTGAACTGAAAAAAACAGTGCTTCTTATCACAATATCACAGTCAAAGCTGAGCTCTTCACAGGATGTAAGGGACCAGGCAATTACTGTGCAAAATTCACGTTAATGAGTTCCCATATGATGCATTATAAAAATTAGTTAGAAGGGGAATAGGACTCAGGTGAAAAGATATATTTAACATGAGCTTGTTCATAGTATTTAAAATTTTAATTAAGATAACCATATAAAGTTCACAGATAGTACAATGGAATGTGAAAGATTTGGGCATAATGTGTGTTTTGCAAAACTGATGTGTTTAGTCATTGGGAAGGGAGTGATCTTTTTGAGGGGTACTTCAAGGACTTGGGGGAGTCCGGTAAAATATTTTCGTATAAATTTTATATCTCTTTTTTATTATTATTTATTCTTTTTAAATTTAGGTGGGTGAGCAAACACATTAAAAAGCCCATCCGTTCCACTGTCCTTAGCCTGGACTGGCACCCCAACAACGTTTTGCTGGCTGCGGGATCCTGTGACTTCAAATGCAGGTGAGAGAAAACAAAGCATCTTTAAATGGGTTTGGATCACTGGTTCATGTTAGTACCATGAGCATGTTGATCATGTATTTGCTATTAGAATAGAAACGGCTCCTTTTATACTGTTGTTATTGAAATAAAATATCCAGCTTGAGAAACTTTGGCACTGCAGCAGCAGCCTTTGGGCTATTAACGTGTCTGTGGAGGGAGATGCCTGAATTTAATGAACTGGTGGGTTTCTTTACTAACAGTACACAGAAGTAGTACTATGTGTGTGCACTGAGTGCTGAGATCTGGTTGTCAGGCTGAAATTAGACTAGCAGGTGCTATCTTGTAGAGTTGTTAAGAGTTTAAAAAGCAATATCCTAATGATGCAGCTCCAAAATAACTTGGCACTTCCAAAGGCTTATCTGTTTTATTCCAAGTCACTTTTTCTCTCCCCTTCACCTGTGTTAACCTTTAATATTCCTGCAGCCCTGTGGTGAGCAAGGTCAAGGAATTGATGCACCTGAAACTCAATGCAACAAAACACGGTTTTGAAGAGCATTTAAAAAACCCCAGCAGATTGGTGTGTGAGATGGATGGAGTAGTCTTTCAAACTGATTATGAAATTACACCGTGAGGGATAGGTCCTGCCACTTGCTCTGTGCTGAGTGATTGAGGTCACTGTAATGAAGTCTGCACGGGGACCTGTCTGCAGAGTTGCTACTTTAATTCAGATTTTACTTAATCACTTGTACCTTGAATAATCATGAAAGCTTCTTTTCTTACATTCTTTATGTAACAGGGCAATTTTTAAGCTTCAAAGTGTGTACTAAAAATGACTAAGAAGGAGTGGGAGGGGGAGGTGGGACCGATTATTACATTCCTTATTTCAGAATGAAACCCATGCATCTAAATTCAATCCTTGGATACCTTTTTATGTAAAGAGACGTTAAATGGAAGTTGGGAAGACGAGGACAGTTGTCTCCCTCTCCTGCATTATCTCCAGTGTTGATTAGATAAACTATTATACATATTCACTTCCTTTCACAAAAAAATGTGATGTAAAATGTACTCATTCATCTTCCAGAAGCAGCTGCTTTTCATGTGTGGAAATTTTTTCGTGTGTGTTCAAAAAGCATCTCAGGACTCTGACATGAGGTCAGCTGAGATTATCTATATCTGTCTATCACTTTGGACTTCAGCTACAGGCTTTGGTCGGTGCTTGTTATGTACATTGCATCCCTCATTATCTCCTCTTTCCTGTTTTCATTGAGAAGTTAGACTTCAATTATTTCCTGTTCAATATAAGTTTGGGGATCTTGGGGGTTGTTTTTGCTGTTGTTTGTTTGTTTTTTTGGAAGAAAGTCAAGATGTCAATTCCAGTTGATTTCCTGGGAGCGTTCTCTGGAAGACTTCCTTAGTCTTTTGTTTCCCATCAGAAAACTTATTGTGTCCTGCATCTTATTTCTCTGAAAAACGGTGTATATTTTGGAAAAAAAAATCAGATCTTGGTTTAAAACATTTGGGAAACTTTCTGCTATTGCTTAACAAACATTTCACTTCAGGATTAATCATTCAATAATATTATTCCTTTTATCATAGAAATCTCCATATAGCAACATTAAAGGAAGAAAGGAAAAATAGTGGAGATTGGTACCAGGTTTATGTTTCTATTTCTTCCCCAAACCCAGGGAAGAATATTCTCTCTGCTAAATGATGAACATAGATCTCTAGAATTCCAGTTCTAGGGAATGTTTAGTTACATATTAAAGATAACGAAGATACTTGGGCCTGAAGTATCTGTTCTGATGGGTGGTTCTGGAGAAAATTATGGAATGGATGTGCCAGAGCCACTGCCAGCTAATAAGCAGCTTAAGTGGGAGACAGTTTGGAAAAAGAATGGGGGGGCAGAAGAGGCTCCAAGTTGATAGGTATTCAGCAGAGGTTTTTCAGTACCTGGCCTAAATGAGCTCCTCTTGTCTTTAGAAACATATATATATATCTAACAGCACCACATAGGTGTGAATTTTATATTCTTGCTGGAACAATCTTGCTGTGGGAATGAAAGTCATTTCCCAATGTTCTTTGAAGGCTGGGGCCTTCAAGCTGAGATGATTTTGATTTTAAAAGAGAGGTAGACTTTAGTAAGGGTAAAGATTTTTTATTTTTTTTTTTTACCTAACAGTTATTCTTCAAGGTCTTCCACTGCTTAGGAATGATTTTTCTGCCTTGTGTCAAAGGCTGTTGCTTTAAACATCTTGTCCTATTTCCATACATTAAGAGAACCGTCCTTTCAGATGTCTCTATAAAATTAAGTTTGTGGAAGGATTACCATTAGATTATATTGAAACTGATAGAGCCAAGTATAAATTTATACTTAATTCTCTGAAAATCTGTACCTAATATAGCTGCAGTTAAACCCTTCTGTTCCAAATGACCAGCTTTATTTGAATAAGCTGAATATAGTTACCTTTAGAAGTGCATACCCCACACATCTAAAAGATTTAAAAAACGGTGAGGGGGGAGCGGCGTTTCCTTCAACTCACTATAAAATAATTCCTTTTTGTGTTTGACTGCAACCAGGAATATTGTATCAGGTTTTTTCTCTTATACTGAGATGTTTCTGGGGTAGTAGGATGGCGTAGCTCCCTCGCTCCTCCCGTTCAATGGACTCTAATCCTATGTTTGTGACGTCCCAGTAACTTCCATGGTAACAGTCAAGAACACCATATTGTGGCACGTCTGAATCATGCAGAAGGAATTTGATGAAAGGGGAAGGCTTTCTATTTAAACATATCTTGAAAATTGTAGTGCTGGGAAAAAAAAAACCCTATAAAAACATAGTGATAACTCAGGTTGTCAAGGCATTCTTTCAGGAATGAGCCAGAATAAGGTGGCTCAGAACCCCTTTGCTGGCATTTGGACATCGGGGTGTTTTTTGTTTTTTTTTTCTTTGCAATGCTGCTAAAAAAATGAATGTTCTTTAAAAGCGGATAATTTTGTAGGTGTTTGTATTCGCTTCTAATTATACAGTGCAATTTGTGGGGTTTTTTTCCCCTAACTGAAGAATTGACTCTGGGAGTTATTAGCACTGCGAAGGGATGAAAGGGAAATCTTAGCACAGTGGAAAATTCAATGTATGGTTTTGTGCCATCTTCTGGAAAAAAGGAGCAAGATACAAGACAGTACATTTATGAGAGCCCTGCAGGCCTCACACCCTCTGTGCTATTGCTTTCTCTCTGTATGTTGAAGGTTCCCAGCTGCTAGTGGCTTGTTTAATGATACAGTAGTATTTTATTTTGGTAGAATTAGAATGCATCTGGTTGTTTCCAATGTGAAATATATATGTAGCTCCCAGGAGGGTTTTTTTTTTCTATCTTTGTTCATGCTGAAATCTTTTTCTTTCCAGGGTGTTTTCCGCTTACATTAAGGAAGTGGATGAAAAACCAGCCAGTACCCCGTGGGGCTCCAAAATGCCTTTTGGGCAACTGATGTCAGAATTTGGGGGTGCTGGAAGTGGTGGCTGGGTGCACAGTGTCAGTTTTTCTGCCAGCGGGAACCGCCTAGCCTGGGTCAGTCACGATAGTACCGTGTCGGTTGCTGATGCCTCAAAAAATATGATGTAAGTATGTTTTTTTTTTTTTCTGTTAGCTCTTAGCTGTTTGACACAGAGGGAAACAGTATGTGGAATGTTGTGCTTGCAACAACGAGAGCTGTGACTGCTGTTCCCAGTTTTGACAATTTTACTGTAGATTCCAGGAGGCTGTTTGAGGCCTGTGTAAATAAGGTAGAATCTTAGAATTTTAGATTATATGATTTAAGCTTCTTATAAGAATTCTTCAGTGACAGTGCAGTCCATTTACTTTTTGGGGGCGGAAAGCATTTGAAAAAAAAATAAGAATCCGTTCCACTCTAGTGATTGGGGAAACAATATTTCCTTGTAAATGGATTCGAGAGGATCCAGAAACATGCTCACTCCATAACTACTAAAACCCTACCCCCAGCCAGGATCTGGAAAACAAGTTGTTCATTTCATGAAATGTTAATTCCAATCACTGTCCTTCAGACACTGCTGCTGCAAGGTTTCAACTTACACCTCCCAATCCAACCAAATATTTTATTAACAATTCCTCCCTCTCCCTATTGAGCTGAGTAAATTTGGAGTGTTTGTGGCTTTCTAACCAAGAAGGTAGAGATTCCCTGTACGTTTTGATAGCAGAGATCTCTGGTGGATCATCCTGTGCTTCGTTGTGAATTATGGTTCTGTTTGCTGCAGCTCTCTAAGTACCTGGCTGGAGATATCATTAAGTGTAAAGTGTTCTAGAACTCTTTTCTCAATTGTTATAAAATCACAGATTTACCATACAGGCTTTTTCCTGCTGAAAAGATGATGTCAAGCACTAAAACTTCAAGTGTTTTTTGGATGCCAATGAAATGAATAGCTTCATCAATTTGAATCTTTTCTTGGGGGGATCTTTTTTTACTCTTGCTGTTATTTACACCCAATACTAAGTAACTTCAGCCTTTCACCTGGAATACTTCATATTCATTAGAAATCTTCCAGGACACTTCCATTAGGATAAAACTTATTACCACAAATTTCAACTTTCTGGTGTCACCTCAGGACAACTGAGCTACACTGACTTCTTTTCCAATAATCCTTGTGTGGGAACAGTCTCTATTTTTTGTTGGAGCCAAAGATGAGAGGTTTCAATGAAGTCCTCTAACAAATGTTCTTGTGTTCAGGGTTTCGCAGCTGAAAACAGAGTTCCTCCCACTCCTGAGTGTGTCATTTGTCTCCGAGAACAGTGTGGTGGCAGCTGTAAGTGTCTATTATTTTCTCCTTGTAGTGTTGTAGTGTTTTGGAGAGGGAGAAACATCATAAATTGCAAAGTTAATAATAAGCAAGCTCTGCCATAGTGTTTATTTTTGCATTTCTGCAATTAACAGCAGCAGAAGAAAGGAAATGGTGACTCTGTTGGTTATGTTTCTTGACATTCTTTCGTGATATCTGGTTGCAGGGCCATGACTGCTGCCCGATGCTCTTTAACTGTGATGACCGTGGCTTGCTGACCTTTGTTTCCAAACTAGACATTCCAAAACAGAGCATCCAGCGCAATATTTCCGCTATGGAACGCTTCCGAAACATGGATAAAAGAGCCACTACAGAAGATCGTAACACTACCCTGGAGACACTGCACCAAAACAGTATAACGTGAGTGTCTCAGCCCCCAATCTGAGGGGAAGGAACATTCTCTTTGCACTTTAGTTTCCCAGGATTTATTGTAAACCTACAAGAGCTCCAATGTGCCGTACCAGATGGGTGTAGCTGGTATCCCGTTTTCATTTGAGTCTTTTGCTAACAGCTGTCTGTTTCCGGGGCTTAGATGGAAGCTGGTGAAGTTAATCATTAGCAGGGCATGCGTGCTTCGGCTGTTTGCTCGTGTTTAATGAGTTCTGTAACTTGAACACAGTTTATCTTATCAAATATGTAGATAGCTCACAAGAGGGTGGTAGCACCGTGCAAAATCTAGGCAGCAAAAATTCACCTGAAACAGGAATTCACATACCAGGTTCCTATTTCAGATGTTATTTCCATGCATATTTACTCATTAAAAGAATTAATTCAGGTTGAGTAAAATATCCTTGCATTTGAAAAACTGTCAGCCCAAGAACAACATTTAGGCTACAGCCACCAAGCAATAAAAGAGCTTTTGGCATCCTTTTTCTTTGCTTAGTTTTCTGAAGCGTTGTACCAATAACCTAGCGTGAGCTCTGCTGTACTTACGTCTCCCTTTGAGAGAGTAGGAGTTGAATTCGGCCCAAATTCCACAGTTTTTTGGCTCTCTGGAATGGGTGTCTGTGTTACAACTATCGCTCTCCGTTTTCAGCCAAGTGTCTATTTATGAGATAGACAAACGAGATTGTCGTAAATTCTGCACCACCGGCATTGATGGAGCAATGACCATCTGGGATTTCAAGGTACACTTTTACCACCGTCTTTATGTGATCCAGGTGTGGTTGTGGGGTGGCTTTTTTTTCTTGATCTCTGGCATCAACTTCTGGGGCTCAGCCCTAACACAGGTTTTATCAGCAGTAGGAAATCCAGGCTGGAATATTCAAGACCGTTTGTGACCTCCCTAAGGAAGACAGAGCCCAGATTCAGCATAAATGTAGATATACTTTATTAGTAGATGGTGTTAAATCAGACTTCATTGGGTTTTTTTTTAATGGAATTGCTCATGTCCCTGTAGGAATCCCACAAATTCTTTTCCAGATGGTGTTAAATCAGACTTAATTTTTTTTTTTTTTAATGGAATTGCTCGTGTCCCTGTAGGAATCCCACAAATTCTTTTCTTTTCCGACCTCTACCTCAGCCACAAGGTGGGGAGAGACTTTTGATCAGGGAGTGGAGCGATAGGATGAGGGGTGATGGTTTTCAACTGAAAAGGGGGAGATTGAGATTAGATACTAGGAAGACATTCTTTGCTGTGAGGGTGGTGAGGCACTGGCCCAGGTTGCCCAGAGAAGCTGTGGCTGCCCCATCCCTGGAGGGGTTCAAGGCCAGGCTGGATGGGGCTTGGAGCAACCTGGTCTGGTGGGAGGTGTCCCTGCCCAGGGCAGGGGGTTGGAACTGGATGGTCTTTAAAATCCCTTCCAACCTGAACCATTCTGTGATTCAGAGCAAGTGCTTGCCTTGCTGAGGACTGTCCAACAGAGGTCTCTGCTGGTCTCCCCAAACTGCCTTTTAGGAAGAGACTGGTTGGTCTGTGTTCCTTAATGCCGGAAAGCTCCAGCGGGGACAGGAGCCAAGTAAAAACTGCTTTAATGCAGTTTCAGGGGAAGAGGGTGGAATCACAGCTCTCTATATGCATGAGCTTGACATGAATGATTGTAATGGTGTCTGGCTCTTGAATATCAGTCTGATCTCAAGCATTTGGGGTTTTTACTCTTTTTTTTTTTTTCTTAACTTCAGCCTTGACGCTGCATTATTTAACACAGTATCCTGTAGCAGATTGTGATTAAGGTTTTTTTTTCCTCTCTTTCAAGACCTTAGAGTCCTCTATTCAAGGTCTACGAATCATGTAAAGATGGATTTCCGTGATCTAGCAGGACAAACTGCTTGACAGAATGCAGCTCCCACATCTGCACAGACCCGAAAAGGGAGGAGGAAGGTGGAATATTTGGAAACACTGAGAAAATACAGCTTGGCAGATTTTCTTTTGAATCTAAATTTGGTGAATTGTGTTGGTTTCAAAATCAGCTGTGATTGTTCTTTTTTTTTTTTATTTTTTTTTTTTCGGTTGGTTGTTTCATTCCATTCTTTACCAAAGCTGCTCCTTAAGTAGTTTATTGCAGGAAGTTATGAATCACTAACTTAAAAGGGGAATTTTATGTAAATTGTCTGCTAGAAATAATAATAATAAAAACAAAAAGAAAAACTGATTCTTTGTCTCGATGCTTGTTAGCAGGGATTAAAAAATGGATATTAAGGGAATTAACTCTGCAAGAGAGGGCAGGGAAAACCCTGCAGCGATATTTTATGGCTTTAAAACAGGAAGAGTTCATCTTAACTGAAAGTTTTGTAAAATTGGCAGCTGATGACCCGGAGTTCTGATGGTCTGGGTGTGAAGGTTCAGCTCCTGGGCTTCTTTCAGGGGAATTGTTCTCTTGAGGTAATGATTTTAGAGGATGAACAGTTTTATCCTGCTGACTCTTAGTACAGTCTGCCTGGCATTTAATCCAGTAATATCAGCAAATTAACCTGAATGTCTTTTTTTTTTTTATTGCCTGTTTAGTGGGTCATAGATTTCCAAAAGGTGAAATGACCAGAATTATTTTGTAGTTCCCTTTTAGGATTTGTCCAAAGGCTTCTCACAGTGCAGTGCCTGGGAAGGGAGGCTGCGTGCGTTCCCTTTTAGGATTTTTCTCGCAGTGCAGTGCCTGGGAAGGGAGGCTGCGTGTGGAAAGGGAGGAAAAAAATCTGCTGAGCCAGATTTTGGGAGGACAAATTAAAAGCAAATCACTTTTTTAAGTCGGTGACGCTCCCCAGGCCTGGGTGTCGTGTTGGAGCCGAGTGCTTGGCCTGGAAAATCTCCTGTTTATAATCACTGCTGGAGAAATAATACACCCTTAACAGAAGTATTGGTGCTTCTGTGCAGATCCTTTGTCTCCAGGTGACTGGATCTTCTCAAGTTCCATTCTGAGTCCCGGTAGCTCACGGAGGCATTTGCATGTAAATTATTTTATTCACGTGGTTTAATTACTCTTAACTGTGTTGCTGCCACGAGGCTTGAGACAGGCTGAGGAGAGAATGGGTTATCTGTCTTCCACTGTTGCTTTGCAAGGTTTCAGACTTTGTCATTTCTGTTGAAAATGCAGAAGTGTCTTAAAAAAAAAAACAACCCCAACAACTCAATGACTAAATTTACCACTTCCTCTGGAACCGGAGTTGCTTCATACCCTGCTCGTGTCTCAGCTGGGAGCGACTGAGGAGGGAGGGTGGAGGAGAAGCTCAGGAAGCTGACAACTGCTGCTGTTCTGCTGCAGGTGAAGCGTGTCCCTCGCAGAACGGGGTCGTTCCCAGGTGTGATGTTGAACCAACTGTTCAAAACCCAAATTTTTGATTGGAGAATTAACTGTTTTTTCCAGTTCCTTCAGGTTTTCTTGTGCCTTCCTCCCCTGGCAGTCAAGTGTGGCTTTGCAATTTCCTCTCTCCCCTCTAAGCATAAAATGATGAGTGTTTACCCTCTGCTCTTGCAGTGACCCCGTGTGTGACTTGAGGGGTTGGGTTTATCAGCTCGAATACAGTCCAAAGGAGTTTGGTGTCTTCTGAAGTGGCCCTGCCAGCCATGGCTTTGTCCCTCCCTGTCCCTATTATTAGATGCCTGTTTCTCACAGACAGGAATGATTTTGTCTCTGAAGTCACTTCTGGAGGTGTGGTGGTTTATTTCCAGTCTCTTTAGGGGCTACAGGAGAGATGGGGAGGGACCCTTAATCAGGGAGTGGAGTAATGGGACAAGGGGAATGGTTTTAACCTGAAAGAGGGGAGATTGAGATTAGATATTAGGAAGAAATTCTTTGGTGTGAGGGTGGTGAGACCCTGGAACAGGTTGCCCAGAGAAGCTGTGGCTGCCCCATCCCTGGAGGGGTTCAAGGCCAGGCTGGATGGGGCTTGGAGCAACCTGGTCTGGTGGGAGGTGTCCCTGCCCAGGGCAGGGGGTTGGAACTCGATGGTCTTTAAGGTCCCTTCCAACTCTAACCATTCTATCTTTTCCAAAAAGTATTTAGAAAAAGTGGATTCTAAAATATCTGGTCCAAGTAACATAAATGGATGGAAGAAATCTAACGAGAGAGGAGAGAAAATGAGTATCTAAACGTTTGTGCCTTGTTCTTTTTCTATGTGAAAGAGCTGGGGAAGGTAAAATGAGCCAATGTAAAGGTAAAAAAGCCCAGAAACTGAGGTTTGATGAAACTGCTCAGGGTTACTGTCTGGGAGAAAGGCTGAGATGAAAAGCAGGTTGGAGATATTTATATTAGAAAAGGACTGAGCGAGGGGAATATAAACAACCATCACTCGAGGTGTAATTCAGCTCACGGCTTCCAGGAGTGGGGACTCCTGGGGCTGGTGGCTCTGTGTGGCTGTCACTCTGCCCTGGGGGGACCTTCTGCTGCCGTCCCACCTCCAGTCCCTTCGATCCATGGGGAGGGGTTGATGCTTGTTTTGCCTCCACCCTTTCCTTGGCTGCCTTCCAAAAGGTATTTAGAAAAAGTGAATTTGAAAATATCTGGTCCAAGTAACATAAAAGGATGGAAGAAATCTAACAAGAGAGGGGAGAAAATGCACATCTAAACGTTTGTGCCTTGTTCTTTTTCTGTGTGAAAGAGCTGGGGAAGGTAAAATGAGCCAATGGGAAGGTAAAATGAGCCAATGTAAAGGTAAAAAAGCCCAGAAACTGAGGTTTGATGAAACCGCTCAGGGTTACTGTCTGGGAGAAAGGCTGAGATGAAAAGCAGGTTGGAGATATTTATATTAGAAAAGGACTGAGCGAGGGGAATATAAACAACCATCACTCGAGGTGTAATTCAGCTCACGGCTTCCAGGAGTGGGGACTCCTGGGGCTGGTGGCTCTGTGTGGCTGTCACTCTGCCCTGGGGGGACCTTCTGCTGCCGTCCCACCTCCAGTCCCTTCGATCCATGGGGAGGGGTTGATGCTTGTTTTGCCTCCACCCTTTCCTTGGCTGCCTCCCCCATCTCCAGCGCTGTCGGGGTGTCCTTGGTGTCACCCGTTGTGTCACCCACCCAGCGTGGGTGACAGTGCACGAGTGTATTTAGCTGCCTGCAGCACCAGGCTCCCTGGCACCTGCCTGTGTGTGCTGGGGCTAAGGGTGTCTCTGAAAGGGCTCTTCACACTAAAACTTGTGGTTGCAGTTTCGGTTCCAGGGGAGCTACTTGCTGGGTGTGTGCTCGACCTTATGTGCCATTTAACAGCCCTGGGGGGGGTGCAAAAAATGGGGCTCCACGCAAGCAAGGGGGGCTGGAGCCTGCCTGAACAAAAAATCTGGCCTCTAAATGAAAAGAAGCTGCAGAATTCCTGCTGCTTTTCACCCCCTCTGCCCCCATCCCCAAAGAAAAGCCCAGGGAAAACCCATTCTGGTGTCCCCAGCCTCCCTGGGGTGGGGGGAGTCCCTCCCCAGCCTTTCTGCGGAGCCCCCAGCGTCACAAGAGATGCTGCTGCGGATGCAGGAGTTTTCCACTTTGGAAAACGGAGGCAAAAACAGGTAAAGGATTTAGCCAAACTTGGAATCGGATCTGGCAGGAGACCCAGCTTCATCCCTGGCCCCCACAGGCTGATTCCCCCGTGGGTGGGCGAGTCCAGGGGGAACCCAAGGAGTGTTCAAAACCCAGTGGAGGCAGCTCCTTGCTGTGCTCATTAGCACTTCCTCCTCCAGAGATGATGAGGAACCCCGGTGGCAGACACAGAGCTGCTCTGCAGACAGTGCTGGGGATGATGTTCTCTCCCTTCTCTGACCAACACACCCCCATTCCTGCTGCAGATGTTAAACTTGACCCATCCTTCCTCCACACCCCTCCTGGAAGGGGTCTGGTGGGAAGGGACGGGCAGAGGGATGGTCGATCTTG